AGTCAGCCAGTCAGTTGTATTGTGGCATTTGGAGTGTACTAATTGTGATACTGCAGATAGCAGTAATCGTAAATCTGTAATTTGGGTGATTGTAAGTGCGAATGTGAAATAAAATTCGCTACATCGAATACATCGAGAATTTATTTGTCGCGATATACGCCCGATACGCGACAATATGAACAGAGAGGGGGGTTTTGTCTCAGCAAGTCATGGAAGCCTCTCATCTGTTCTCTTAACCCCCCCCTCGGGATATGACGCCAGATCCAGAAGGCTACACAGGCCATGACCGACTAACATAACAACCGCCCCTCCCCAGCTTAAGGGTTAGTGCCCCGCCTTTAACCTTGCCTTTCTCTCCCCCAACACAAAAACCCTGCTTGTCCCAGCTCCTTCCCCCCTCCCACACTACTGATTTCACTTGTATACTTTCCCTTCCTCCCTTCCTTCTCTGCTCTCACATAGCTGTGTATATTTCCAACACCAGTCTGCTTTTACCCGTTCTCACGGTCTCTTCGCTTGTGAATTTCTTATATTTTTCCTTCTACGCTGAAGATGGAGGCGATACGTTCCTCCGAAACGTCGGTTAACACCACATATACGCGGTGCCAAATCCCAGAAGACTGCTTTCTTCAAATCAAATTTAGTATTGTTAAGTCATGTAACCTGAATCTAAAGTAGTAAATGTTGCTGTGCTATCACATGAAATTAAATATTCTTCCTTTTTATTCACAGTATCGGTCTTCATAGTTAAAAACATGGACAAGCATGTAGCAAATTCAGATATTCATAACATTTATACGAGACAAAGATACAAACATTATCCAACTTTTAAATCAACCAGGGCTCAAAAGGGAATATCTTACACTAGAATTAGAATATTTAACAAATTACCACATAGTATAAAAATATTTTTTGCAAGATTTAAATAAATTCAAATATTCCCTTAAAAATTTTTTTGCAGGTGGGCTCTTTTTATTCTATAGATGAGTATTATGAATGGGAAACGAGAGATGATTGTGTTAATTACAGATAAGTGAAACAACATTAGTCATTTTTAAAACTTCTATTGTAGGATACCTATACTTCTTTAGTTATGATTTTACTCTGTTATAGACAATGTTAATATGTATTTTATTATGATAATAAGTTGCAGTGCAAGTGTTACATGCATGTTGTATTTAATTGCAGATGGGCTCTTTTTATTCTTTAGGTGAGTATTATGAATGATGATTATGAAGGGATGATTGTACTAATTACAGACAAATAAAACTACACTAGTTATTTTTAAACTTTTATTGTAAGATGCCCATAACTCTTTGGATATAATTTTGCTCTGTTTTTGACAATGTTAATATGTATTTTGCTATGATAATAAGTTGCAGTGCGAGTGTTATATGCATGCTGTGTTCAGTTATATCATTGTATCAACAGTTATTGCAACAATGGTTGCGGATATGTTGTAATATCTTAATGACGTTGTCCTCTGGATTAATTTTATTGTAACTAGGGCTTTGACATGTTCTGTATCTGGTGGCGCCATTGCCAAATGTAGATCTGATGAACAAAATAATTTGAATTCAATTAGTATAATTAAATAAGTAAAAAAGTAAAGGTATCCATGTAACAGGCTGTGGAGGCCCTAGGGTTGTGAGATGGTGAGGTTCCCACAATTTCTAGACAATCGGGTTACAGATGGCTCTAAAGTTGTGAGACTTATGTGCCAGCTGCCCTTTACCCACAAGAATATTCCTGATACTCTTTTCTGTTAGAGGCTGAGTCGAACCCAGGACCATAATGCGGCTGGAAGGATTAGATAAATTGAAAAAATCCACCTTATCAGGATTTGATCCTGCAACCTTCTGCCTTGTAGCACAGTGCCTCAACCAACTATGCTACCATTTGCCCCTTATAAGAACACTGTACAATACAAATTTTTATTTGCCAATGCTCTGTTTTCAACTCTTATTTGGTCATCATCAGAGACAACTCTTGTATATTAATGTCTGGAATGCTGGCATTAAACTTACATAAAATGGCTTTTGGCTATGCAGATATCTTGCAAATTAAGTTCAGTTGTTTTCAGGGGTTCAGGTTTTATTATTTATAATTTTGTGACATTTGATTTTTAGACACTTTTTAAAACACATTGCCTTATATTGACATCATGTCTG